CTTTGTAATTTATTGTGTTTTGTGTATATATAATGTATATGATATTGATATGTATATCTAATATGATATGACTGATATGTAATAATACCTAACTGTTCAAATACAATTTTATATTAATACTAGCCCTCCGTGCTAGTATTAATCTTATAATGTAGGTAATCAGAAACAATTAAGCTAGGTTCAAAAGAAATGAAAAAAWTTTTGAAAATATACAAAGACTACAGGACATTCACCTCCTCTCCCTTTCTTCGAAATTCCTTTGCAGACGAGTAACGATTTAAACAGTTAAATTCCAATTGGGCATCTGCGCTTACCGTGTGTCCGGCTATGTTGACACCTCCTACTGCGCTTCGTTCCATCGGATTCTTTTTGGCCATACCGTTTGACGTAAACGATCCAAAACCGCCGACGCTCGCCTTGTTCTTGGCAAACACAGTGTCCTGTATGCGGTTCATGAACTTATCTTTGAGCGACATCCGCTTGGGACAGTCTCCGTCGACCACACCGTCGTCGGTGTCGTCATTGTCGGAAGTTTGCTGCAACAGATCGTACGGGTTGACGTTGCACTCGAGTATCGACCGACGCGACGACGAGACGACGCGACCGTCAGCACCCGTATAGTCATAATCGGGYGACGGCGTCCTCGGCGAACCGCTGCGGTTCCGTTTCCGGTCTAGTTTCCCGGTTGTGGTGGCCGAAGTGGCCATCCGGTTCCTGCGGACACAGTCGTACGGGTCTTCGGACGACGGCGCGACTTGCACAGTGGCTGCTGCGGCGGCCACGGCCACGGCGGCAGCCGCGACCGTACCAAAGTGCTCGCGGCCCAGGAACGTGCTGCGCGACCTGTTCCGGCCGCCCGCAGACCCTTGGCGGCCAACCGTGCCTGCGCCTCCCGCGCCGGCGTCTCGTTCGTACAGCCAACCGTCGGCATACCGCATGGACTTGGACAGCGCGCTACCGGCAGACACGCTGTTGTACTTGGCGTGATGCGGCCGGTAACCGTTTTGGTAGTGACGGCGGTGCTGTGAGCGGTCACCGTCGGCCGTCATCGCAGTCGCCTGATGATGGGCGGCGGCCGGTACCGTGGCCGTCGGTTGACGGTACCGTTCGGGCAACGCTACGGACGCGGCCATTGCGGCGTCCGGGAGTTGATGTTCGGCGTCGACTCGGCAGTCGAGTAAAACCGTCCGGCCGGCGTCAGTGCGTAGACGTACGGCGTCGCCGCATCCGACTCCGATCCCGAAATCAGCGCGGCGGCATTGCGTCAACAACGTGGTMGTAGCCGGCGCAACTGGTCGTCTGTCGGTAACCGTTGCGATCGAGTGCTGTCCGCGCAATCGGTTGCTGTTCATCTGCACCTGGTGTGAGACGGCTCGTCGTGGTTATCATCGTACGCGATACCGACCTGAAACACATGGTTACCACACTATTAGTTTAATGATAATATATGAACACGTGTAATGCAATAAAAAAATAAAAAATAAATAAATAAATAGCAGAGGATTTCGCGGTCTAACGATTTTGAAAAACTGTAATCCTGCAGGTGCAAAAAACATTACGCGCAACTCATCATTTTTATTTTTTATTTTTGTTTTCAT